TATGACCAAGGCATGTCTATCCGTAGTAATCCTAAAGAGACCCGGGAGACTACATGCCATGGAGTTGTCCCACACCTATGATTGTTCCAAAATCTGACATGTCTCCCACTTCTAACTCTAAACCGGATACGTTTGAAGAACTCATCCTAACCCTTCTTCAAAAGCTTCCAAACCCTCACCCCGGTAGGAGACTTCACTTCCCTTGAAATCCACCCTCCAAAATCCTTCCCAAAGTGGCACAAAATTACTCCCACCCACAATCTGGACCCGTCTCTCCCAAATCTCCAAAGCCATTTGCCCAACAATGCCTTGCTGAACAAATCAATCCACTAGAGACCCAACCCTCTGTTTGAATAGGAAGGAGTACACACCTTTCCCCAATTCACTAAGTGGTACTTGAACGCATCCCCAGTACCACTCCAAAGGAATTTCTTCTGCATCTTCTTCGGCCTCTTGACAACAGCCACAAATATCTGGAAAAGGGGCATAAAATAGGTCAGAAGGCTCAAAAGGGTTCTCTTCATAGGAGTTATTTGCCCCCCTTTCGAGAGAGATTGTTTCTTCCAACCGACAAGCTTCCTCTTGAATCGCTTTACGACTAGGTCCCAACTAGATGCCCTCCTCAATGTAGCCTCCAATGGCATTCCCAGATAAGAGATCGAGAAGGAATCAATAGCACAGCCTAGAATATCATCGAAAGAATGAATCTCCTCAACCTCCCTTACTTGCACAATCTCAATCTTCCTGAAGTTGATTTTCAAGCCTGAGACTGCTTGGAAGCAAACCAAAACACATCTCAAGTATCTCAACACGTCCTCCACCGCATCACAAAAAACAATAGTATCATCTGTACAAACAAATGGGATATTACCAACTGGTTGGGTCGCTTTCCATCCCCCATGAACCCTCGAATGAGACCCAGCCCTTCCACCCTCATCATCAACCTGTTGAATGCCTCCACAATAATGATAAAGAGAAAAGGAGAGAGTGGACCTCCGTTTATTTATATATCCATTAATTTTCATTCAATTTATTGTCAGTTCGCAAAATCATATCAAATTTAAATTACTCAGTTATTTTTTCTCCTTCACATTTTGTCTTTCAGGATCTCAAGAAGAAGAAGATGTTTGGTGGGGGGTTTGAGAAGGCTAGTCTTTTACTACTTCTAGCCAAGTCCTGCTCCGACACCTCTACATTCCACCTCCTCCTCTTTAGCTTATCAGTGGCATTGCCGCCTTAAACATCCCTCTTCAAATAGTCTTCGAGTCTTGGTCCCTTCTTTAGTTGATTTTTCTAAGTTTAATTGTACTACTTGCGAACTTAGTAAACATCGTCGGGCTACTTTTAAGTCTTGTTTAGATAATAAGAGTATGAAACCTTTTGAGTTAGTACATTCAGATGTTTAGGGACCAGCTCGTACTACTGGTTTATTTTGTGCTCGTTATTTTGTGTCATTTATTGATGATTATTCACGTTTAACTTGGGTTTATATTCTTAAAAATAGATCTCAAGTGTTCTTTGTTTTTCAATCCTTTTATGCTGAAATTTAAAATCAATTTGATGCAAAATTACTAGTTCTTAGAACTGACAATTCCCTTGAATATAAAGAAAATATTTTTCAAATGTTTCTTCAGTCGAGGGGCATTATCCATCAAACATCTTGTGTTGATACCCCTCAATAAAATGGAATTGCCAAACGAAAGAATGGACCACTCCTAGTTGTTGCTTGTGCCTTGATAATTCAAATACATGTTCCAAAACATTTTTGGGCAGATGCAGTTCTGCTTATCTTTTAAACCGAATGCCTTCTAGGGTCCTTCAAGGAAAATCACCCTTCCAAATGATGTTTTCTGATAAAGACCCTTTTTCCATTCCTCCAAAGGTGTTTGGGTGTGTCCCCTTTGTTCATAATCTAAGCCCGAGATGAGACAAACTTGATCCTCGTGCCCACAAATGTATTTTCTTAGGTTATTCTCGCACTCAAAAGGAATATAAATGTTATAGTCCAACTTTTCATAGACAATTTGTGTGTGCAGATGTAACTTTCTTTGTGGATGTTCCTTATTACTCCCAGGAAGGTAGTTGTTTAGAGGACTCTATTCTTCAAGAGTCTATTCTTCCACTTTGACATCCCACCAGCTCTTCGTGTCTATGCTCGTCGCCGAAAAAGAGTAGTTAATCATGTTCCAACAACTGAAGTAGTAAACCCAGCCTTGCCACTTCCACCACTTGCTTCAACGCCTAGAGATTCTTCCATCTCTCTGGACTCTGATCTTGAACAACCTATTATTGTTTGGAAAGGTAAAAGGTCTTGTACCACTCACCCTATCTCCAATTTTGTGTCATATAATAAATTGTCCTCATTTCAAGCTTTTTCTTTATCGTTATCCTCTATTGCTCTTCCTAAGTCCTACAAGGAGGCACTTTCTCATCCAGGGTGGAGGAAACCTATGGAAGAAGAAATAAACGCTTTAAAAGTGAATCATACTTGGAACCTTGTTTCTAAGCCTACTGATACTCAGGTTGATGGTTGCCGTTGGGTTTTCACTATTAAACAGAAGCCTGATGGTACTGTTGACCGTCTCAAAGCTCGACTTGTTGCTAAAGGCTACACCAAGACTTACGGCCTTGATTATACTGGGACGTTCTCTCCTCTAGCCAAACTGAATTATGCTTGTATGATAATATCTCTTGCAGCTAATATAGACTGGCCACTTCATCAACTTGATGTTAAAAATGCCTTTCTGCGCGGTGACCGTAGTGAGACGGTCTATATGGCTCAACCACCTAGGTTTGAGTCTAAGGGAGAATGTGTGTCATCTCAAGAAGTCTATCTATGGCCTCAACCAGTCCCCCTCGTGCATGGTTTGATAAGTTTAGCAAAGCAGTGGTAGCTCATGGTATGACCAAAAGCCAGGCTAATGACTCTCTCTTCTTTAAGAAAACGAAATGTGGTATTGTGATTCTTGTGGTGTATGTACATGATATTGTAATCACCGGCAATGACAGAGATGGAATACAAGTTTTAATCCATCACTTGAGTTATAGCTTCCTTAGTAAAGATTTAGAGAAACTTCAGTATTTTCTAGGATTTGAGTTGGCTTGGTCGAAGCAAAGCATTAGTCTTTCTCAACGGAAGCATACTCTTGATCTCTTACAGGATACTGAATATCTTGGTTCGAAACCTTTAGCTACACCAGAGATGTATCGGAGACTTGTAGGTAAGATTATTTACCTCATAATCAGTGTTGTGAGCCAGTTCATAACCAATCCTCAAGTACCCCACACGGAGGCAATTGTACGCATCTTAAAGTATCTCAAGGGTGCTCCGAGGCGTGGTCTGGTTTATAGATCTTCTGGACATCTTTGGATTGAGAGATACACAAATGCAAATTGGGCCGGTTCTCCTTCTGATCGACGGTCCACCACGGGTTATTGCACCTTCATAGGAGGAAATCTAATAACTTAGAAGAGTAAGAAATAGTCAGTGCTGAAGCAGAGTATCATGCCATGGCGCGCACTGCCTGTGAACTTACTTGGTTGAAAACTCTTTTACAGGAACTTGGGATTTCAGTCGAGTACCCAATTCCTCTCCATTGTCACAATCAGGCAGCTATTCATATTGCTAGCAATCCAGTTTACTAGAGAGGACTAAACACATTGAAGTAGATTGCCATTTCATTCAATCTAACGTTGACTCGAATGAGATTGTTACACCTTTTGTTCCTTATAGTTGGCAAACATATTCACTAAGGCGCTTCCCAAGAACTCTATTGATTCCATATGTTGACATTTATTCTCCAGCTTGAGGGGGAGTGTTAACAGTATTGTATGAGCTGTCACACGTGTACAGTTAGATTACATTGTATACAGAGTTTACTAGTATTTTTTGTATTCTGTAGCCGCCTTCACCTATCCCTCGTTACTATATATAGCATTATCATGTATAGGGTTTACTTGTTCTCCACTCACCTACTCTTGTAACTTCTCCTATATAAACACCATTATATTATTGTATTATTTAATAATATATATGTTTTTCATATATGTTCTCTCTCTCTCTCTCTCACAACACTTCTAAAGAACGACCATAATATACACGTTTTTCATATATATTCTCTCTCTCTCTCTCAACACTTATAAAGAACGACTGGGGGCTGTCTCTAATTCTATGGGATCATCGACAGTAGGTTGGTTTTCCTCCTCCTCCATCAATCGGAAGATGCTCAAGGAGGGGAGCAAGACAGGACAAATGCTCCCCTATGAGATTAATTACAAAAACCCTAATTTAACAGTCCATTCCCTTCAAGGCGAAAATGGGGGAACGGGAACTCAGTCTATATGCCATCTTCGAATCACAAAGATTCCTAACACCGCGAACGGAAGCTGATTCAACAAAGAGACATGAATTTTTTTTGTAATCCTTCACAAGCATCAACCCACACATCCTTTTACGTGTTTTCATCATCAGCCGTGTTCGATGAAAAGTTGAGGAGTCCGACCCAGATCCGGTGTCCGTGACGTGTCGACACGGACACTCTGGCCAGAACTGGTGAGTCCAGGTAACATAGTCATCCACCCTAAAGTACAGTCCTCTCATTTCCAACAACCTTGTGGTGTCACCATCAATCGGGGCAGTTGTGGCAAACTCTCCACTTCCATGAATGACCTGAATTTCACTCTATTCACCTCTCTTACCATCCCGTCTTTTTGTCTCATCAATCTATCCCCCTTCTATTATAATGTTCACAAACACTTGGTAGCATAAATGATTACACTAGTCTCTTGCTCTACTCATTCGTGTTACTCCATTGTACTTAAATAATGATTTTTTTTTTATAAAAAAAAACAACAAAAGAGAGACGATTTTTTTTTTTTTTGGGGGGGGGGGGGGGGGGGGGGGGGGTGACAATTATAGACAGTTGGAGAGAGTTCTAGATTACGATATACCATCAACCTGCTAGAAGGTAAGAATTTTTGTTGGAGAAAGGACTATCTACCTTGGTTTTGGTTGGAGGAGTTCCTTGTTTAGTTGTAGTGGAGCTCCCAAACCCAAATTTTGGCTTCTTCTCTGCAGGTTTTAGTATTTGGAAAGAACACATCAGAGTCTCATCCACACTCATCATTGCACCAGCATTGTCAAACTCTCCGCAGTAATTAGGGGCAGAAAATATGGTTACAAGTTGTCTATCGGCAAAGAATTCATACCCATCTTCCACAACCTGCAAAAGGAAATAAGATACTATGAGAAAGACTGTGAGTCCATATGTACAAGTGAACAATCTAAATCGCAATTCAGACCTGGTGTGCACGACATATAAGGTCAAGGTCATGCTTCTGAAGAAATTCTGTCACTTTATCAGGACCAAAGGTATATGAAACTCCCCTATCATTCATCCCCCACCCTTTTACATCTTTGCTAGGATCCGACCAAAGTAGATCACATAGTAAACCAGTCTCTGGAACATCAGTAGGACGCTGTAACTTCCTGATTTGATCCAAATTATGCAGGTCAGGAGAGAGTCCCCCGTGCATACAGAGTATCTTTTCATCAATAAGAGCAGCCACAGGTAGGCAGTTAAAACAATCTGTAAAAACTTTCCATAGTCTGACATTAAATCTTCGCTTACACTCATCATAAAATCCATAAATACGGTTTACAGAAGCACATTCATGGTTGCCCCTCAGAAGGAAAAAGTTCTCAGGATATTTTATTTTGTATGCAAGGAGAAGGCATATTGTTTCCAGGCTTTGTTTCCCACGATCTACATAATCTCCTAAGAACAAATAATTGGCTTGAGGAGGAAATCCGCCATACTCAAAAAGCCTTAGAAGATCAGAATACTGGCCATGAACATCTCCTGGTCAAAATTTAAAACAAAAATACATAACTAAAAGAAACTAAACTAATTTAAAATTTAAGTTCTTCAAAAGAAGGCAATAAATAAATAATATATTATAATAAATACAGGTGTCCTAGGTCAGTTCTAATGATAAGTGTACTTAAGCAGTATTACATACACATACATTGCTACTCACAGGAGAAAGAGAACACTTCAAAATGGTGGCAATGACCCTCAGGATATGAAAATTTTAACTTCCAGACCATATAAACTCATGAATTTCTGGCGCAGACATAATTACCATATGCCTAAAAATAAGCACACCAATCTGGAACTATTGTATACTATAATCTGGAACTATTGATTACAAATAAATAAATCTTAGTTTATTTATTTTAGTTTTTAATCAGATACTACAACTGGAACAATTGATAGATCTTAGTTTTTAATGTATACTACAATCTGGAACAATTGATTAAAAATAAATAAATAAGAAGGAAAAAAAGAAAAACAAAACAAGAAGGCTTCCGACCAATCCAAATGACTTATGAGGATTTTGTAAAAAAGGAATTTCATTGATGGAGGTGCATGTGATGAACAAAATTCGACATACACTTCTTTATTTATTTATTTAGGTATGATTGCAAAATGGAGCTGGTTATATTTTCATTAGCAAGGAGGTGAAGTTAACCAATAATTTTAAGCAAAATCATTTAGAGTCCGACAGTCGGACAACTCCGATTGTTTTAATGTGAGTAGGAGCTGACGTCATGAATTGTCCAACTGTCAAACTCCGTATCATGACTCTAATTTTAATGCAAAGTACTTGAACAGGAGAGAGTTTTTCACAACCTACTGTTGAAAAATCATACAAAACGCTAGAAAACAAGCTTCACTTCACCACCCCCCTCTGATCCTATTGATACCAATAATTCAGATTATTAGGGTTTAAGTCACTTGCCTAATGATTGAATGGTTAATTAACCAAATTGCGTCGAAGTTAAATTATTTGGACAACCTTGTTTGTCAGGGGCTTATTTGTTATTGCTTATATAATGTTGGGTGCTTATGTGTAATTTCGGACACTTGTTAGTATAAATAGAATGTGGTGGAAAGATGAAAGGATTTTTTCATTATTTCTCTCTTTGCCCATCTCTCTCTCTTTCTTCTCTCCTTCTCTCCCTTCTCTTCTTCTTCATCTTCTTCTACTTTACTCTTGTTTTGACTATCTCTTAAAGTCAACAAACCTTTTATCACACATTTTTTTAGGTGGTAAGTGACTGGGAAGCTAAGAAGCACGATTATGAATACAAACACATACATGGTAATTATATAAAAATAATAAAAATAAAAAAATAAATTAGTAAAGGGCGCAATGCAGGTTCAACAAACAATTTATTTTTTATTTTTTAGGTGGCAAGTGACTTGGAAGCTAAGTAGCACAATTATGACTACAAACATGTACATGGTAATTATTAAAAAAAAAAAAAAAATAGCTAAGGGCACAATGCAGGTTCAACAAACAATTTATTCTTTATTTTCCTAGTTGATACTCACAACCCCCCACCCCCTCTTAAGGAATTGTATGCACCAAAGAGGAGTCGAACCTTAAACCTTATGCTTCCTGAGCAACCAGAGCCAAGTTCTTACCCACTTGAGCCAACCCCTTGGGATAACAATTTATATTTTAGTTATATATATAATCATAAAATATAGGTACTACTGTATGGATACAAGTTTCCATACTTAAAAATGACAAAAATGTGTGAGAACAAGTTTATTATACACTTGTATGATTAAAATAAATAAATAGAAAATAACAACGGCAAATAAAAATACAAGTATCCATACACATATACAAACGTATTTCAAGTAACACACAAACCAAAGAAACTTCATATTAGAAAATGTTGAGATTAGGGATCGAAAAAAAAAAGAAGAAAAAGATAGAGACGTTATGGGAATTTTTGTGAGAGAGAGATTAAGCCATTCTTCTCTCACTGGTGTGTATAAATATATTACAATTGCCATTACAATGAAATGATCAAATCACCCTTGTGAGAAATATTAACTACAATATATATATATGCATTCTAACACTTCCCCACAAGTTGGAGACTATATATCAAATAATCCCAACATGGAACAAATATCATATATCCCTCAAACGATTATGACTCATAGCCTTACTAAACATATCAACAAGTTGATCTTCAAATTTAATAAATAATTTAGAGATGTTTCCACTCAATATCTTTTCTCAAATAAAATGACATTCGAGCTCAATGTACTTGGTTGTTCTCATGAAACACTAGATTAGATGCAATGTGGAGAGCTACTTGGTTATCACAAAACAATGGAAGAGAAGTTTTGGTTGTCAAGCCCAGTTCTTCAAGGAAATGTTGTAGCCATGTTAACTCATTAGAAGTGTGGGCCATCGCCTTATACTCGGCTTTAGCACTGGACCAATTTATTACCGCCTACTTCTTACTTCTCCATTAATTAAACTACCTCCTATGAAGTTACAATAACCCATAGTGGATCTCCCATCTGAGGGAGAACCACCCAATCAGCATCTGTAAAACCTTCTACCCTACGGTGTCCATTTCATCCATACAAAAATCTTAGTCCCAAAGCTCACTTGAGATATTGAATAATCCGAAGAACACCACTCTAGTTTGATACCCTAAGAGCTGTCATGAACTGACTCACAACACTAAATGCATATGAGATATCTGGCTGAGTAACAATGATATAGATTAACTTTCCAACTAGTCATAAGAATCTACTGGGATCAAATAGATCTCCATCATCAAACAAAAGCTTATGATTTGGTTTAATAGGAACATCGACAGAACGACCGCCTAATGAACTAGTTTCTTCTAAGAAGTCTAGACATATTTCCTCTGAAACAAGCTAATACCTCGCTAAGATCGAACAACCTTAAGAAATATCTGAGTGCGCCCAAATATTTAGCATGGAAACATCACGGCAAGAACTGTTTCAATTTAGCAATAACCTTTGAGTCATTCCTGGTGATGACAATGTCATACACGTATATACAACAAGAAATATAAAACTTGCCTCAGTATGATAATGAAATACTAAATAATTTGTTTGGTATTGGCGAAGACCAAACTCCAATGCTGCCTAAGAGAATTTTCCAAACCACGCCCTTGCAGCAATCTTGTCCGTAGCCACAATCCCCTTCTCACAATACACTTTCTATCTTCACACTTTCTGTCTCAAATATGCCCACAGTTGGGATGTAGCAATAAATATAGATGAAACTTGGGGTAAGGCTTGTATAAGAGGTGGTTATCACGATTGGTAGAGGCAATGACAAATCCAATGTCGCTATCTCGCTAATTGAGCAAGATGATAAGTTCAAATTGAAGAGTACCATTCGGCTTACCTCGAATCAAATCAAGAATCCGGGCTTTAATTGGGTTCTCCCATCTTTATACAAATGTGTGTGTGCACACCTAGGAAGCACGGACACTCCAAAATGGGTGAAGAATCCGTGTCCGACACGTGTCGGACACGGACACGCGTCGGACATGTCCCGACACGTGTCATCTTTTTTTATTTTTGAACACGGCACGAATACTCCGCGGACGCGGCACGGACACTTCTGGAAATTTTTTTTTTTTTGAATGCTGATATGTTCTTTTTTTTTTTGTTTTGTACTACCCTTTTGGTATTGTAAATGGTAAAAGTCCCAGGTCAAATGATGGATGGGAATAGATTATAGTACACTGACTTGGTTTTTGTATCTTTTTCGGGGACTAGCCTTTAGGTTTTTGTGAATGTTAAGTGCTAACAGTAAAGTGCTGAATGTTAAACAGTCATGAATGTTAATAGTCCTTTTTGTCTATGCTTTTGTATTTGGAGTAAAGTTGCAATGATGATTAAATGATACTAGTTATTATTCTAATGTCTTGTTTTTTATTTGCTTTTATAACTCTACAACATGTTCTTTTATAATTTATTAGTTATGAGTTATGATTTGTGGTTTTTTTTCATTGTGAGGTTGATGAAAAATAATAACACTCAGTAATTTTTAAAGTACTACATCATATATATATATATATATATATATATATATATGTGTATATATACTATCCGCCGTGTCCGTGTCCTAATTTTTTTGGATTTGCCGTGTCGCCGTATCCGTGTCGTGTCGTATCCATGTCCCGTATCCGTGTTTGTGCTTCTTAGGTGCACACAAGCGCTTAACCTGTCATGTAATTTGGTATGGGGATTTAATCTATTTTTTTTAGTCCCTTTTTCTCTTTTCTTCTTGTTTTTATGCTTCCACAACCTTTTTCTTAAATTACAACAATCCCACATTCCCATGTCCCTCACGCTTACTCACGTACCCCCTGTGTTACTGTCACCGGGCCGATTTTCAAAATAAAAACAAGGGCTAGCCCAGTGCACGAGACTCACGCTATTGCAAAGTTCGAGGAGAGTCAGATGTACACAGCCTTACCTCCGCATGCGGAGTGGCTGTTTCCTTGATTTGAACCCGTGACATCTAGGTAAAAAATAATAACAATAACAATAAAAATAAAACTAAAGATGGATTAGTTTCGGGCATATGCAACACGTGTCAAGGTACGCCAATTACCAACACTTGTCCTTGTCCGACAACACTACAGCACCTGAAAGAAGTTTCGTGTTTTAAAGGCCTAAGAAGGCCTTAGAATTAAGGTAGTTAACATTAGATTAGATGGCCATTTTCCTTAAATAACCTTTGAAATTGGATGGAAATGAGCTTTAATTATAGAAGGCTGCCGAAATGAGGATGCAAATTAATCCAAGTTTAACCTTGTTGAGCTCAACTGGTCCAGGCCAAGGTATCTGGATAGTCCACCCAGCTAAACCTGGATTGATCCAGACTTAATTGGATCAACCCTACCTCATCTTCTTTATGAGTTTCTTCTGTTTTATATAATATATCAAATACCGAGTTTCCTAGTTGGTACCTAATTGCATAAAATAACACAAATTCATGATTTTCCCAATATAAGCACATAATATAGAAAGACAATAGCCTATAAACAGAAACCTTGGTTTCTTATCTAGCATACTCTTCATGAAATTTAATTTGAAGCTTAACGTTAAATGCTTAGACGACTATCACAAACCAAACCCAAGATGACAAAAGAGAACCTACAAAACTGCTAAGTGCTAATTGCTTGCAAGCCATCCATACTTAGCAACCATAATCGAGAGAGATTCATTTTTCCCGCGTGATATCATATATATAGATGTCCCATGATATAAATAATGAGATAAGTAACTCATCCATACACAGAGAGAGAGAGATTAAATGGTATCTATGATATAATACTAAGAGGTAATATTTGCTAACGAAACTATATAATAAACCAAGTTCATAATAGCATGTACATCCTCAAAGGATGTAGTCTAGACAAAATAGTCCATAGTATTGGTACCATAAAGCCAACATAAGAAGTCAAATCTGAACTTTCAATATAAAAATTATGTATACAGAACATAACAGCAAATTTTTCTTTATAGCTCCAACTTGTACAGATCCACTGATGGAAAAGAATGTATGAATGAGCGTCACAGCTCAGTGAATATTTTTTTATTTATTTTTATTTATTTATTTATTTATTTTTTTAAGTAAAGATGTATAAAAAGCGCTCAAAAGGAAAGCGCGTCCCAAGAGAACTACACAAGGTCAAAAAGAGCCTCTAAGCGTTCAAAGAAGCCAAAAAATCGACAATATCCTCTAAAGATCTATAATCTCTTCCTGAAACCCAACAAAAAAGAGGGGAAATAATAGAGAATTTAAGGATAGAAATTGGCATCTCCTTCCCATCGAAATATCTCCTATTCCTCTCGAGCCAAATACACCACCACACACAAAGAGGCGTAGCCCTCCAAGCATCTTGAATATGAGCCCCCACAGAACAACCTCTCCAAGCCTCAATCAACCCTCTAGAGGATCCAGGCATGACCCATAGACTCCCAAACAGACCAAGCATCAAATCCCAACATTCCCTAGCCAGTGAATAGTTTTCAAGGCCAAAAAGATATTTATAAACCATTTACATCAAAATTCAAAAAATATAACTAGAAATTTTAATTACAGCATCATAGATAAAAACTTATACAGCCAAACATGCAGTCAATGTCCTAGAAAATAACAGTCTATACAGTTAAACATTTAGTTATAGCATTAGATAGAACAGTTAAATCTCTCCTTATGAGTACTTAATCCAATATAGTGGAAATGATTGAGTTTAAATCTTTCTTGGCCATTAATTTCGCAAGTTCTCATTTCTGCCTTTTGATTTACTAAAGTTAATATTTTAAATAATCTTTTCCTGGTCTTAAATTAAGCATTCATGTCCCAAGCGTTTTTACATGATTCTAACTACTTATTTTCAACAACAAAAATTTGGTGTGTATTTTGTATCATTTTTATTTTTGCCATTTTCATCAATGAAAATTTTGAAACAGGTAGGCTTTGAAATGACATGATTTTCTTGATGGATTCAAAATTTTACAATCGCATAAGCTAATTCAAAATATATATACTGAGAAAGGGCTTTCAAGAAACTTTTTCAAATCAGTTTTTGAAAATATTCCATTAGACGTTTTTGTGTCTTCTCATTTTTCCCCTTTTACCTTGTAACAGGTTCCAAAAAAAAATACGGAACAGGCCCTTAATAATCAAGATATATTGTAAGACTTCTTCAATTTGACCAGCTAGTCCATCTTCAAGTTTAACACCGTGTACAATATATAAATTTAACCCATAAAAGGATGTCCAAGTCAAAAAAATAAATAAAAATAAAAATAAACTATAGAAAGTGCAGCACAACAAAACTGAAATACCATGCCAAATGATATCTATTTCAACTCATACTCCTGGCATATTTTAAGTCAAACTTCAAATATGTATCACCACATGCATAATTAACCCAGGTAGGAAACAGTATTACCAAGTAAAAGTCAAAAATTGAACACAACCCACTTGAACTTGAACAAAACAAAACTAAATCCACTTTCAAGAATAAAAAAATTCACAAAAACCAAAAGCCAAACCTATTTCACAGTTCTCAAACTTAATCCAAGCCCACTTCAATGTAATCAAAGTTAAGATACACCCACTTCAATATAATTAAAAGTAAAGCAAACCCACCACCCAAAAACAAAACAAAAAAAAAAAAGAAGAGGTGAATTAGCGGAAAATTGTAGAAATATACCACAGATCTTAATGGGTGCTTCAAGCTCCAGCAGATTGGGCTGCTGCAAGAAGATATCTCTGGCCTGTAGACAAAGGTGCCTGATCTCAGACTCAGAAAGCTGCACTTGCTTCCCTGGTCTGCCTCGAACTTCGAGCAACCGATTGATTACATCATCTATCGCCGCGTGGTCCATATTTTTCAGGTCTTACTCACAAACCCAATATCAAGATCGAAAAAGCAGTAGCAGAGAATAAAGGGTGTGGATGAGATGTTTTTGATCTCGTTCTGGGGTTGTTGATAGTAGCATAATATCTCCAAAGACAGGCAGACAGAGAGAGGGAGAGCTTAAAAACCAAGACTCTAGCTTTGGGGATTTTGGCTTTAGGCCTCTAGATTATAACTCTTTTCAAAATTTTCTCTCTCAGACCCTGAAATTAAAATGAAAAAGGAAAAAACAAAAGCAAAGAGAGAAATTTGAGAGAGAGAGAGAGGTTCCTCTAAAAGACATGTTGCGGAGAGCGACACCCGTCTCTCTCTCTCTTTATATATATATATATAGATATATATCTATATGTATTCTATTTATGGGGGAGAGAGAAACCAATAGTGACGAAGAGTCAATGGGACTCTGGTCTTAAAAAGTATGTGAGAGTGCGTAGTGCGCTCCTCTATGGATAATGCGGTTGCCGCTGACGCATTTTGAACACTAGAAAACCAGGGCAAAGTATAACCGTCTACCGACTTGACAAAAAAAGTAAAGACGGTTTTTTTAACAGAAAAATGCAACTTGGGTAGATTAATCCCAATAAAATTTAATTTTTTTCACACTTAACTATTCTCCAAAATAAAATTATAAATTATTTTTAATATCATTTTTGATTCTCTTAGTGTGACGGTATCGAATATTTGAATATTCGAATGAAATACGATTGATAGAAATACGGTTCGGATATGTGTATGCTAGAAGTATCCTAAAAATTAAATAATTTATTTTTTGGTTGGTTGGACATGACATAGACACATTTTTTAATACTCTCATAATGCGGCCGGATAATTTTGTATTTATTTTTTTAAGAAAATGAAATTCAATACAATTTAAAATATATTATGGACTAATTAAAAAATAATATAAAATTAAAAAAAACAAAAATAACAATCAAATAGTTGTAGCTCTAAATTAGTGATTTTATTCGTGATTATAAGGAAAAAATGACAAAAATAATATTATTTTTGACACATATATATTATACCGGCCCGTATTTATTTTTTAACATTTGTCGTATGATTATTTTTCTTGTGTCGTACCCATATTTGTACTTCCTAGAACTTCTCTCCTGATCTTAATCGACAACATAATATTCATCGAATCAATTTTCAACTTATCTCTTTATATATATATATGATATATTTATATATATTACCACATCTCTTTTTTCTATGTGTGTGTGTGTGTGTATATATATATATATATGATATATTTAAGTGTATTTAGGACTGAAATTTGACATTTTCATTTACTGAATAAGCACAAATATTTTAATTGCAATCTTAGACTACTTGCGAGAATCGGTTTATTCCACAAAATTCTCTCCTTTGCGGCCAATGCCAGGTCCTGGTGAGTTGTTTCTTGAATGACCCAGCCACCAGTATAAATAGAGGAATTCAAACGAACCTTATGGAGAGCTTCGATGGACTTTGAAGGGTACATATGTTGTTCTACTTTGATCTTCATATGCTCTCATGATTTTGATTTTTTTCAATTTTATTTTCGATCCCAATTTTACTCATCTTCTTCTATATTGATTCTTGTAATTTGTTGATATTAACTTTGAGATTTTAGATCGAAGTCAATGCCATCTGATAGGGAAAAAAAACCTAACCTACCTTGACCTAACGTTAGACGCAATTAAGTGTTGACCAGCTGCCAGACCTTTTTGACTATCAAACGATGATATTTCGTTATCTAGGATAAGATCTCCAAATGATGACATTTCGTTATCAAGGATAAGATCTCCCTTGGATAAGGATGATATTCCCTTATCAAGGATAAAGTCTCCGTTGGATAATAATGATGATATTTCCTTATCAAGGATAAGGGAGGTGATCATAAATATGAAGACGACTCGGGAATAAGGTACACACAAAAAATTTCCTACTTGAATTTGGATGATAGAAATTCTTTCTCTAGAAACCCCCACTAACTTGATCGTCGGAGGGTCAACAGCCGGTACCACACCGGTGTTTGACTTAGCCATCTTTGTTTTGCAGGAAACGGTGTTATACCAAGCCGCGGTGAATTTCAGCCCCAACAGTTGGCACCGTCTGTGGGAAAGACGATTTCCTTAAATATTATTTAGTTGAGTATATGCGTTTGCGGTCCTGTATGGTTACCGAAGGAATATCGTTGCAGGGATCTGGTCAAAGGGAAGAGTCGGGTGAAAATCTAAACGTCCCAAATGACCAGGAATGGCTTATAGCATTGGAACTACAAGTCCAAACTCTAAATTAGGGTATGGACCAGTTGATTTAGCAAAATGCAGCGCTTCTGCAAAATCTTGTTCCACCGGTTCAACAAAACTTGCCACGACAAAACCTCTCGAACCCAAACGGAGGTAATGGGAATCTTAAGGAGCGGGATAATCATCCTCCCCGAAATAAGACCGGAGTGGAACAAAGCCAGGTAGGGAACCGACATAGAGAGGTGGTCCACCCATCTCTTCCACGGAGTTCCTAACCTTATGAAGGGGAAAGGCATTGCAGCCATAAATGGTTTGGTGCAGAAGACCAACTTGCCATTCAGCCATTTGGTTATGAAGTGCCCCTTGCTGGGCAAATTTAGAATGCCCTCAATTAAGAGTTTCGACGGAACTAGAGATCCCCTCAACCACTTGGAGACTTTTCAAGCGCTTATGCATCTGCACATGATGTCGGATGAGATCATGTGCAGGGCTTTCCCAACGACCCTCAAAAGATTAGTACGGGTATGGTTCAACAAGCTGAAGCCAGGGACTATCGAAACTTTTGAAGAATTGAGTAAGCACTTTGTAGGCCATTTCATTGCTGGCCAGAGGTATAGAAGACCGACTACCTACCTTCTTGTGGTGAAGTAGCAGAAGGGAGAGTCACTGCAAGACTACATTAGTCGACTCAACACGGAGATGCTGCAGGTGGAGGAAGCGGATGACAAGGTGGCCCTAATCGCCTTCATAGGAGGACTCCAAACCTCGAGATTCCTCTTCTCTTTATCAGAGTAACCCCCTGCCAGTATGGCCGAGTTATTGGTCCGAGCTCAAAAATATATGAATGCTGAAGATGCCATGACTACGAGAAAGGGAAAAGAAAGGGGATGATAAGAAGGTAGATAAGAAAAGTCCGGCTCTGACGACCAAAGATGAAAAGGAAACCAAGTATAAGAAACCCATGGTCAATCAGAATGAAAGGGCGTCTCGTTATAAGAGCGCGGAGAGGTATGGAAATTATACTCTTTTAAATATGCCAATAGATCAAGTTTTCCTGCAGATCCAGGATGAACCGTATCTGAAATGGCCACCAAAGTTGAAATTAGATCTGACGAGGAGACCTCGTGATAAGTACTGTAGGTTCCATAAAGACCATGGGCATGCCACAGAGGATTGCTTTGACCATAAGGATCAGATTGAGACTTTGATCCGAAGGGGACACATGCGAAGGTTCACTGTGGGGAATGACAGAACCGACACTAATCCACCAAGAGCAGGCTGAGATAACCACCCCTATGATCAGCAACTAATGGGAGAAATCAGGGTCATAGCCGGGGGATGTGCAAGAGGTGGGGAATCAAGCTCAACCCGTAAGGCTCATGCCAGGAGAATGCGAAGCTCATCTGAGGTGTGCGAAGTTGGAGTACAGATTCAACATTGAAAAATGCCTCGTCTAGGAGGTCTTGTTATCACATTTTTAGATGAAGATATTAAGGAGGTGCAATAACCCATAACAACCCTCTCGTTGTCACCATGATGATCGCTAACTATAGTATTCGGCGGATCTTGGTAGATAATGGAAGTTCGGCTGATATCATTTTCCTTGATGTATTCGACAAAATGAAGATTGGTAAGGAGAAGCTCAGACCTACTAGATCACCATTGGTGGGATTCTCGGGAGATAAGGTCTATCTTCTAGGAGCGGTCATTCTTCCCGTCACTGCAGGAACCAGCCGAAAACAAGTTACTATCATGGTAGGCTTCTTGGTGGTGGATTGTCCGTCTGTTTACAATGTCATCCTAGGAAGGACGACTTTAAACTCGATGAGGGCCATCACTTCGACTTATCACCTCTTAATGCGCTTCCCCACAGAGCATGGCATAGGTGAACTAAGAGAATGCTATGTTACATCTCTCAAAGAAAATAAGCAGTAAGAGGCCTTGATTGTAGAAGAAATTGAGCAAGACCAAGCCAAGCCAATTGAGGACTTGGTAGAGATATGCCTAAATGACAATGACGTAACAAAAAAGGTGAGGATAGGGTCTCTGCTCCCCTTAGATTACACGAATATTCTTGTACAGTTCCTCAAACAAAATCAAGAAGTGTTTGCATGGTCACATGAAGACATGCCTGGTATTAATCTAGCTAAGATTGAGCATCGATTAAACACGGATCCCACATTCAAACCTATCTGGCAAAAACGAAAAACATTTACCGTAGAGAGGAACATGGTTATATCAGAAGAGGTGAACAAGCTTCTGAAAGCTGATTTTATCCAAGAGGTTAATTATCCCAATTGGTTGGCCAATGTTGTTTTAGTAAAAAAGGACAATGGAAAATAGGGTTGTGCATAGACTTTACCGATTTAAATAAGGCGTGCCCCAAAGATAGCTTCCCTCTGCCAAGAATCGACATGTTGGTAGAAGGAACGGCTGGCCATGAATTACTCAGTTTCATGGATGCATATTCAGGGTATAACCAAATCTCAATGCATCCATTAGACAGAGAGAAGACCTCTTTCGTCACGGATAGAGATTTATATTGCTACAAGATGATGCCCTTTGGGCTCAAAAATGGTGGTGCAACATACTAGCGGCTAGTCAACTAGATGCTCAAGAACCAAATCGGAAGGAATATGGAGGTATATGTAGATGACATGCTCGTAAAAAGCTTAAAAGCTCAAAACCACTTAACTGATCTACAAGAGACATTCTAAGTCCTTAGGAAACACCAAATGAAGCTTAACCCAGGCAAATGTGCCTTTGGTGTCTCCTCTGGGAAATTCCTTGGTTACATGGTAAGCAGGAAAGGGATAGAGGCCAACCCCGAGAAAATCCAGGCGATTCTCAACATACGGTCTCTAGCATCGAACAAGGAACTTCAAAGATTGACAGGAAGAATCGCTGCTCTGAACATGTTAATTTCTAGGGCAACGGATAGGTGTTTACCTTTTTTTCGTGTGCTCAAGAAAGCTTTTTCATGGACACCTGAGTGCGAGCAAGATTTTACAGATCTGAAGACGTATCTCATTTCACCACCGTTACTATCACGGGCGATGCAAGGAGAGTAGCTATATTTGTACTTGGCGGTTTCT